GTGTTACAACAAATAACTGCCCAAAAAAACAGCTGCAAACAATCCATCCTTATTTAAACTGACAAGTAATCCAATATTAATCAGAAGCTTTGATAGATCTGAAAATATTTATGTAATGTGGTTCTCTCGTGTTCTTATGCAATGGTAATGAAAAGCTACTTTTGATTAGACCACAAGTAAATGATGCAACGTTCCTGGACTGGGACTAGGGAGCACAGTTACTACAGCCAGACAACAAACAGCTATGTAATTTATGGCCATTAATGAGATCTTGTTGGCAGGCTGTCAGTTCTTCCAAGCTGATGCTTCCACTGCCTACAGCACAGCTACCATTACAACAGAAAACGGCTCGTCAGGCTGCACTCACACACCACCTCCTGAACGCACTTCAGTCCATGGAAAAGGTCACCATCCTCACGCCAGAGATTACTCATCCATAAAATAAACTGACACAAGGACACACACAAGCACTTCCCAAACCAAGTGGGTCAAAGCGACCCATGTTAGAAAAAAAACTACCACTAAATCAAAAGAAAGGTAATACCACATGGTGAGTGGATTGTTGCTGCAGAAAGGTGACGACAGCTTTAAGTATTCTGCCCAATCAAAATAGTCTGTATTAGATAAACTGCTGGTTTAATTGTGCAATTATCTTGGCACTACTTGCTTCTGCTAGCACGTTAGTCACAGAATTATGCCTGTTATCGACTGGAAAGAAGATTAACGGGCAAATAGACATCCTTAGTGTGTGACTTGAAAGATCACCATTGGCCAAACGTTACTTTTTTGCAATTATTGAAAATTCATTGAAACTAAAATCAAATGAGGCAACATCAGTTAAAAATAGACTCTTCAATAGTCTATGAGGCATGGTTATGCCAATGTTGCTATTTCTAGCAGCGCATAGCAAAGAAGGACTCTGTAAAAAGTTATGTCTTCAAACAACAGCCTCCCAATCAGTCAACAGCAATTATATCCATAGACTGCAAACTATGTATCTTCAACAATCCTTTCCATGTGTTTACCTGAACATCAAAAAATGGAAAGGAAAGGAATTCTTTTATTTGGTTTCCCCACTGGTTTTAAATGGAAACAAAAAGTTTAATCACTTATTATTTGAAAGTTTTCTTTTGCTACAGATCACTCTGATCCAGCTGTATTAGACACACCAAACATTCAGAGAAATCTAGAATAGCCTTTCTTCTCCAAAGTTTTTGGAAGGAAAGATACTGATTGGAGTTATCTAATCTAATTCCTGATAGAGATTTTAAGTAGTCCTTTTTAGAATCTGTGTATCTTTTTCTTTATTGTTACATGGACTTCAGGACCAATGAAGCAATCTCCAGTCAGGCTTCCACGGAGGATGGATGAACTTCAATTCATTTATTGAACAAAAAGCCCAAGCAAGCTATTTTTCTGGTAGCAAGCACCAAAAAAAAAAAAAAAAAAAAAAAGAGGCCAGCCACATGGCACTTAAAATATGCAATATAAACAACACTCAGCCAAAAATGTTCTTTCGCGAAGCCCTGCTAGTAGAGAATTACAAATTGGGGGAAACAAGGACTGACTACTACTTTGAGTGCCCAGCTATTGATACCTAATGGGAAAAAATGTTTTGTTTGAGTGTAAAAGACCACCTCCATCCTTTAAATAAAAAGCTGAGAAAGATGATGAAACCGGTTAAAAATGAAAACTGGCATGCTTCTCACAGAGCTTCACTCAGCAATAACCACCACTATACTGAGCAAGGGCTAGGTAAAAACAGCGGGCAAAAGAAATCCTATCAGCAGTAACAAGCTAACCAATATAATCAGATTTGTGTTAAGGAAAAAAATTTACAAGCCTGGTAAATTTTGCCACAGGCAGGAACATTTAAGTTCAGAGTGACATACAGCATACACAAATTTGGTACATCCTTACATAAGAGAGTGAATGCTTTGTATAATTGTAAGATTGAAAAGCTTAAGACAGAGTACTATCCAATCTTCCTATTCTTTATTGCAATGATTTGCTTTAGTTTGGTTACATCACTTGGATTAGCCTAGTTTAAGTGAAAACTGCTAACACTATCTAGAGTACAACTGCACAAAAGAAGGTACGACTGGAACAGCTTTCTATGTAATTAGAAACCTTAATAAAGCTATTACTGTCAACAACTGCTATGTAGCGCCAGTTTAGTGTCTAGCATGTTCTTCACATGCAAACCAAAAGCAGAAGAACTAAGACCAAATCCCACATCATCTTTTATCTATTTTATCAGGTAGCCAGTCCTGGTCCTCACAGTAGTACCGAAATTGTGGCTGCTAGGCAATCATGATAGCCTTAAAACAAAAAATCCACCACCAAAAAAGCGATACATCCCTCAGCTGTCAATATGGAGAAACATAAAGGTTCAACTATGTGTGAACATACTAGTATTTCAAGTTTATCATAGGATAAGGGCATGGATGCAGTTTCAGGGATACAGCACAAAGCAAAAATGTCTCAATAAGGATTCACTAAATCTACAAAATCCCTTCAAACAGGCAGCGATATGAAGAATGAAGACTCCATTCAAAATAAATTATAACATGATATCTATGTTTCCAAATAAAGAGATCTCTAATATTGATATGAAATATCAGCCCCTAAGAGGGGACAATTCTGAGTGACAACAATTGATAATCATCAATTAAATCCTATACAGTTAAGTAAGACGAAACTACGTAGTTCTGGACATGACTCATTTACCAAAGTCACAGCAGACAAAAAATTCTGTGAAAACTTTGAGGCACACAACTTCTTACTGATGTAAGAAGTGTTTCGTATCAGAGATTCATAATCCTGCAATACTCAAATGATTAAAGTCAAGGGAAAACGGGAAGCCAGTTTGGGATCCAACGAACAGCAGGTGTTTATCTCAAATTCTAAATCAATTCTTCATTACTTTATCTGTAAAAGATGGTATCTCGAATACGTGAGTATAACATTATTTCTTCACTAGTCATGTCATGCAGCAATACCACGGATTATATCTCGTGCTTTGTGAAACGGAGCATTTACACAAAAAATCCAGAAGTCAATAAACAGCAACCAAACTAAATGCAAAAGCTACACAGTTTGGATCTTAGGATTAGACCTCCAAAGAGGGACGGAAACAACGCAAAGAATCTCCCACTTACCAGCCAAAAACAACTTTTAATGAGTCTGTTTCGAGTAACTACTAGAAAGAAGCACAGTGAAAGATTCCACAAAACTTAAAATCAGCCTGGACTCAAAAGGCAGGAGGCATTAGTCCACAAATTTCTTTAAGCTTTTCAGTGCTTTTGCACAAAAAAGCCTGTATGAATTCCAACAGATCACTGCTGAACTGTGACCAGTGAGAGAATCTAGCTTCCTAAAAGCTCTCTACTAATCAACGGGCTACCATCACCTTCTTTGTTCATTAGCCTAGAACCATAATTCATTTCAATCTGTAAGACTGGTATCAAACACTCGACTTTGTTCTGATACACAGACTTCTAACAAATCAAAATAGGTACAGCATCTGGTTGACAACTTAAAGGACTAGCTTGATTAACTAAGAAGAGTTCAAGTTAGTCTTGAATTCAAGTCAAGGCTGTAGGAAGCTAAATCTAGGAAATCATTTGAGTACAAAATGCCATCAATCTTGTCACATCTGGGAAGAGAGCAGAAAGTTCACAAGACGGTGAGCTGATGGTTTTAGCCTGCAACTGTGCAGCTGTTCATGTATTACTTTTTGGTTTCCATGCAGTATTTCAAAATACCAATGCCTGTAAAGAACTATTTCCAGAGGCTGACATTCAACAACTTACTACTTCTTAAAAAGAATGAAAAATACCTCAGTAACATCTGCTTATGTCATAAAATCTCTTAATTACAACATTAAAGTTATCAGTAAAGGAAAGCTTCATTCTGACTACAGCATTAGATATCAGACTGCCCCTTTTGGTCTACCTAGAAACTTAATATTAATTTACACTTAAATTCACCATGTATGATTAAATTCCTATATGTTTATTTTATCTTTCTACGATTGTGAAAAACTAAAACAGATTATTATTTAACCTCACAACTCTACTCCAAGACTACCACTAGGAAGAATAAGAAAACACATAAAATAAGTAAGAAACAAAGCTACGAACAATAAGCACTACCAATCCTTAACAATTACAGTAAAAAGTGTGTTAGAGGGCTATTAACTGCTCTTCACAGTGATAGAAACAATTTGCTGGTTATATATAGAACTATTTTGGCTGACTTACCAAACTTGTCTGAACACCTTTAAAAGCAGCTCAAAGAAAGTTACTCACCAAAAGTACCATAGAATCCTCTAGGTCCACAAGTGCCAACACCATATTTCTTCAGAGATGCCTGGGCTGCACTCTTTAACAGAAGAGAATTACATGAAATATTTGTTCCTACACTAGATGTCTAACTCTTCTATATGCTTCAAATTGACAACTTTATACTGATAAACACAGGCCAGCTCCTGCATCATGTAACATGACCTGTTTTACAGAAAGTATAATCATGTACTGAATTCTATGAGTTTATTTCACATTGAAACTATTTTAGACAAGTGCTCAAGCATCATTCATTGTATTCTAATGATTAAGGATATAAGATCCTAATCTAACTTGATGGTCAGCTAGCACACAGTAAATACATCAGATGAGACTTTAGTAAAAAGTCAAACTTAAAATAGCACAAAATTACAAGGTTTTTAATCTTCCTTGTTGCTATAGAAGTATACTTCCTTGACAAAGTTTGTGCTTTCTGAAGTCATTCTTAACATACAAAGTAAAAGAGGAACAATCACACAAATACACTAACTGGAAGAACTCACCTTAACCTTTTCATTATCCAAAAGTCCAAGAAAGTTAAACGATGCAAAGTTTATACATTCCTTGCCATTAACAGTGATTATATGGGTGGGAGGACTGAAAAAAAATTACAGACATATTGTTACGAATAAACAGTTGGTGTTTCCGTAAATGGTTAAACGGTACAGGAGTTTCGTCTTTCGACAGTAAAAAAGGCACAGAGCTTTTTCAAGATTCCCTCTTTCCACTTCTTCCTTTGCAGCTGCCAATCAATATACCACCATACTCAGCAAAACCTGTGTTCCTGTAGTTTAATAAAGAAACCATAAATATCTTCCTGAGATATTTAGTTTAATGATTCCTTGTTGAAGAGTCATATAACGATGACTCCTGAAGAGATAAATAAAGCTTCTCCTTTAAAAGCAAAAGCAATGTCTATTTGAAAGAAGCAATACTACAAATAAAAAGGAAATTTCATTGCTACTTACTTCCATGATAAAAATGAATTTAAAACCAACGTTTTTGTCCTAAAGCAAACCCACAAAACCCACAATACTAATCCTGTACTGAATAGGGTTCCTGAAACACAGGTACTAGCTGTAAGCAGACAGAAGTATTGCATTATCTGTCCTCTCAGGTTTCCAATTCTGTTTAACCTGTAACAGTTTGAATAATTCCTGTAATCAGGAAATACAGAAAGTGTGAAAACACCCAATGTTAACAAATAAACCAGAGCACAATATAAATGAAGCAAAGGGCAGAGAAATTTTCTGCCCTAAAAAAAAATTATTTAGATAAACAGTTATTAAAAAATTGAAGATGATACTAGCTATTACCCCTTAAACGTAAGGATCACATCTGTGTGCTGTATTCTAAAAGTAATCCTGTTCTGGCAATTATGTACGTCAATATTACAAAATCAAAAGTTCCAATTAATCACTTGGAGTCCTGAGAAGTCTCAAAGCTAAGCCAAATACAAAACCGTATGTCTGCCCATTTCTGCATGCATCGTCAAATGTTACAGTTGAGATCCTATACTATTCCTCGAACACAATACTTTCAACAAGCTTTTCCCATGTGGAAACTAGCACTTAGCAATTTTCACAATCAAAATTAAACAGGGCTGCTCAAATGTTAAATGCCTGTGCACAGCTGCTCCAAATCTGGTTGCTGACAATATTTCAATGGGTACATCGGGTGTGCAAAGCACATGAAGTTTTTTAAGTCCAAGCTATTCACTACGAGTTAAGAAAAAATGGTGAACTGCCTGAACTTCACTTTAAAAAGCTCCATGACTTTATTTTACATCTATTGGCTTTAAAAATTAAACACATGTTCCTTCAACCAAGCAATTGCAAAGCTTCTAAAACAGCTTCAGAAAGCTTTCTGCTAACACAGCGCATGTGCTGTGCATCTTTATCACTGTCATTCCATGGCATTAAACCAACACAGGCTGAACCTGACTCGACAAAGGACCAGTCCTGCATCAATGCAGCACATCTTCTGCACGGTAGTAGCATTATACGAACGTGCAGCAAACTGTCTTGGGGAACTGATTGCCATTAAAAAGGTACCTGAATCTGTTCCTCTGTCTTGCTCATCAACGAGCTGTACCAAATGTTGGAAGTCCTGTTAAGTGAAACAACCACTTACATTCGCAGATATTCACAAGAACAGACCTATACCTATCTATTTTGGCACAAGGTTCAGCATACTATTAAACCTAGTAAATTTACAACAGTATGCCCCCACAGCTCCACCTCTCAAACCCAGAAAATACGCTATTGCCCCTATCAAAGCTGCAGCCCTCATGAAAACATGGCCACGCCTTGCTATCAGAATTTTACTCTACCTTCTAAAGGAACGCTCATGGTTAGGAGGAAAACACTCCTAGAAAAGCTTATTCCAGTGAATAATTACATCCAAAACAGTATAATAAAACCTTTCTTGCAATGTCAAAATCAACAAGTTTTTGCAAAAGGAAAACAGTGAAACACTCAATTTCTTTATAGTTTCATGTATCTCCCTTGCCGTAGTGGCACACAGTTTGCTAGGTATCACAGTTAGGGCCAACAGTTATGAGATACTGAGTGATCCAGCTGAAACTGTAAATAAAAATATAATTTCAAGCTATATTCAAAGAACTGGCAAGGAAGCACTTCAGAAATTGTGTCTTTTAAGGACTGAAAGCACTTCATCTGTACTTGGATCTCTCACTTATCTCTCAAGTGTTGCAAATATTGGAAAACCAGTCACAGAAGATGATAAAAGCCAGATCTTTAGTGCCTTTTTATTCTAAAGCAAAACAAGAATCTGCACTTGAATTTTGCAGAGATAGTGTTCTAGGAAATAGGTTTACATTTTCTGAATGAGATCTCACACAGCTATCTTGCATAAATTAGTTGACTGCAAGGCTACCGCAAGAAGTAACTAATTTCTGGACTGTGACCAAGGCGTCACAGGTAACTTCTTCACTGCTGATTCAAGATTGGTCACTTATTTTTGTTTGGATAAATCTCTGCATTATTAGCTTTACTTATCATTTGGCAACATTACTGGGATTATGCAGGTGCTCAGCAGGAAAGAGCATACTAACATAAGGCACAAACTACCTTGCATATTGAGGGAGGAGGAAGTCTGCCTTCTCTGACACACTGGGTGAAAATTTTTCCTGGAATATTTACTACTTCCTAAGTGGTTATGAGCCTACATAAATCCTATCAACACATTACTGCAAATATGCAATATTATACCAACATATACTAAGATAATTAAGATTCATGTAAATCACCATTCACAGTAGACATTACCACATGAAAATCATTGAAAGATGACTACCTCATTAGCATCGATAGGGTCCCACTAAAATACTAATTAAAATGGGGATAGAAACAGTCTTGAGCTGGAATTAGGATGCAGAGACTTACATTTCTGTATTAATTCTGAAACATGGGTTAAGTTTATAGTCCAAACAACAATCTCGTAGCTGTTTAGCCACTTATGGGAAGGTAGCTAGTTGCAGTTCAAACCTTCCAAGACAAATGCCAAATTTTCCCCATAGCCACTGTCGAGTTTAACAGCCACAACACATTAACATTCTGTCACAGTACATACCCTAGCTGTAAGGACTGTAAACTTCTAAATAATTTAAACATTTTCTGAATCAATCTGAAAGATGTATTTGTTCAGATTTTTTTTAAAACATCCAACACTTCCTTTAATTCCACAGTACTGCTTGTTTCAAAATTCTGAACAATAACAGAAGGATTGTTCACCACACAGTTGATTAAAATAGGCATTCCTTTTCCAAGGAAGACTTTTCCATGGTGGCAGAACCATCAAAATGGAGCTCTCTATGACAGCAAATAATTGCGCTCTGTGACGAAACTATTTTAAATTATTAGTGTCCCTAGAAGGATATTAAGAATGTTTATATAGTAAAAGTTACCGATATAAATCTGAAGCTTGTGAAAGAAATTCCAAAGTAATTTCTGAAATACTGTGACTCTTGCCTAAGTCAGCACACAATTTAAAAGTCTCGTAACACACAAGAAAGTAACGCTGAGCTACAATTTCCTCACAAAACAACTTTGCAATCAAGCATCTCCACTTCTGATTGTCCACAGAGGAACTTTTCATGAAATGCCAAGTGGCTAGCCACAAAATCAGTTTCTCCTGAAGCGATTTGTGATGACACAGTTTCCCCCAATCCCTACATAGAAGGTGGTAACCACTTTTGGAGGTCTAAGTCTACGTATTCAGAAAAAATGAAACAAATTACTACCAAACAATGCAGACCTACCATGAAGGCAAAGATAAAGTGTCCCTCCCCTTACTTCCAATATTAAAAAAAACCCAACTAATTACAACATTTAATGTAAGAAAGTTTGTCTTAATAATACTCGATAATGCTGCAAAACCAAGATCATCTCTTCAGAGGCAAATTCAGTCCTGCTATGTAAAAATCTAATTCATTTATGAAAAGTTTTAAGGATGTGGAAATGCGTAGTGAGAAATAAGCTCAAAAATACGGACATCAAGTATATGAGCTGAAAGAAAAACCAGAATTTATTTTGTTCACATTTACCCTGAAACGATGTTGTAGTTGAGAGCTGGGTGATCTTTTGGTACGGGAGGTACAAGAGGCTCTGGCTGCCATTCTTCAATCAACTCTTCTTTTTCCTGAACAAGAGAAAAGAAATACTGCTCAAAAAGAATTTCCATTAGAAAATGCATTACGTGCTAATAAATAGCTGGTAATAGTTGCATGAGAAATGATGTATGCTAATATGTGTCACCTTTCTCAGACACTTAGAATTGATACTATTTTAGTATGTTCAACTGAGGGGCTCTGAATTCTTCAAAGGGAAGGAGATTTAAAAAAAGACAGCCCAGTTCTGCCTATGCATTAAAGATCTCATGATATGATAATCAAGAAAAGAGATACTAACTTGGTGTCCTTGCCAAATTTTAATCAATTCTGTTCCATTCAATCTATTAATTATGAAAATCCTCCTCTACAGTTTATGCAATTTAGTACAAATTACGTAACAATTGAACATAAGTTGACTCACTTTACATTCTCAAGTCTTCAAGCCTGCTGTTTAAAAAACTGTGGCATTAAAATACCTACAAAGTAACACACACGTGGGCAGGACACAATGGAGAAAAACTGCCGAATGCAACCATGTATCCTCCACCTAACCATGGAGGAGTGCTGGACATTGCTCATTTTCAAAGTACTTTAAATCGTTTGGAAAATATGGTTAGATGATTTCCCAAATGACATGCAGTGGACCAGCATAACAGATGCATTAGACTAGTCCCCCACAAATTAGCAACCACTCAGGCAAATCACCAGTACCATCCTTCATACCATGAAAGCAGAACTTTCCTGGAGGATTATTTACTCGTACAGCGAGACACATCTGATAACATATTTGTTAACAGACTAACTTTGAATGGCATGACTACAATCATAGAACCATGGAACGGTTAGGGTTGGAAGGGACCTCAAAGATCATGTAGTTCCAACCCCCCTGCCGTGGGCAGGGAAATCCTCCACTACACCAGGCTGCCCAAAGCCTCATCCAACCTGGCCTTGAACACTTCCAGGGATGGGGCATCCACAACTTCTCTGGGCAACCTGTTCCAGTACCTCACCACCCTCAATGTAAAGAGTTTCTTTCTTATATCTAACCTAAATCTGCCCTCTTTCAGTTTAAATCCGTTGCCCTTTGTCCTATCACTACACACCCTTGTAAAAAGTCCCTCTCCAGCTTTTCTGTAGGCCCCCTTTAGGTACTGGAAAGCTGCTATAAGATCACCCCAGAGCCTTTCCAGGGTGATCTTATAGCAATATTAACAATGCATTAATATTTCCCTAGTATTTGAAAAAGCAGTAGAATATTTACTTATTCCAATACCAAAATATAAATTCTGCAATTAATTGTTGAAAACAACACTGCAACATCTTTTTCCATTTTTATTTTTTCCAAATACACTCTTCAAAGCCTTCAAAGTACAAAAACAAATTATGATATGAAAAAATCAAAAGGAAACTACAAGCAACAATACAATCAGTCTCCTGGACTTTCATCACTTTCCTTTTACTAAGATAATGAATAACTTTGTTTCTAGGTATTTCCAGAGTATAAATTAATATCCCAGGAGCTCCACAAAGGTCTATTTCAAAGCAAAATGAAAATTTCAATAGTCCTGTGTTTCAGAAAGGATCCTTTTTATGTGAGCATATTCACTTTTTTAAAGTATATCTGCAAAATATTAGAAACACATCTTCTTACTTAACTTTCTCGTGTTAGATTTCTTACTGAAATTTAACCCATAGGGCATGTATTTTAAAGGAAATAAAATGCCATTACTATGTGCAAAAGAATTTAATATATTCAATATCTTGAAGTGGCTACACTTGAGTTAGAAAAAGTGCTTAGTTTCTTCAGCCACCCTAGGACAGACCCCAGCCGGAGCCTTGCACGCAGTTGTGTATGCACTGAAATGCTGTTCCACATATTAAGGAAAACATTGAAGTAGGGAGTTTTATTAACTTATCCTGCACTAGTGCCATTTATAGTAAGCCAAACAGCAGATTTTAATGCTTCAATTAAAATAAAATCCAAACAGATAACCAAGCACGAGAGAACAATAAATTAAGCTGTGTGTAAACACTATTATTCATTACTGCATTGAACCTCATGTTTGACATAACTTAGTAAATACCTCAAGAACTCTACGGGAGAAGATTACCAGATGATACGTCCTATAAAGATTAACATGCAACACAGTACCAAAATGGTGGAAAAGTAGTACACTAATTCAGGTTCATCTCAGAGTGGAATCATGTTACTGATACTTAGAATTTTTGGTAATTAAAGTTTAATCAATAGTTTCTTTAAATATAAACTAGTTAGTAGTTGATTTTAATAATATAGAATTATAAGAAATCTTTTAATGAAAAGTATGCTCGTATAGTAAACACATGCTGCTATGAAACTGCTGCTATGAAACTCCTATAGCCCTGTACCAGGACCAAAGGGATCAGTCAGAATCATCCAGTAAGAACATGTAGTACAAAACACAAGTTGATTTGTAAACTGATTTATGATACCTACATAGAACTAGAAGAATGCATGTAGCTATCAAGGTCTAGATTAATGAAGATGAGTAAAGCCAACCGTAACGGTTTCGTAATGGTCTATGGGTACCTGCCAGAAACCGTGAACTTAAGCAAAAGGTAATTCCGGCAGGGGGAGATCGCGACCACCGATTCACAGACCACCTACCTATATTGCACCCCAGACTCATTTCTCGATGATTCTAACTTTGATGGCACAGAATCAGAAATGGGAGGAGAATATGCTAATGATTTTTGGGAATTTGTATGTTTATGTATGATTTCCTAATGGATTTGCATATGTTAGCTCTATATAAGAAGTTTGATTTCGGTGCAAGGTGCGCGCGCTAGGAGGAGATATCCCCCGTGCACCCGGCGCCGTAATAAAGAAGTGTCTGCTTATCTACATCCCATTGGTGTTGATAAGTTTCTTATTCCGGATTTTCGGTAACAATCACAAGCATAACACTGTATGCTAAACCCTATTGATCCAAGACAGAGAGTGGCAACTCCATCCTTGTCTCAGAATAGGTACTAGTGTGCATCTCTATAATGTATTACTATTTGGAGAAAAATATCAAAGACGTAATTTAACCCTAAGTGTGACAACCCACAAGCAAGCCAGCAGCTGGTACAGTACAGTCCTGTCCCAGTCACAAATATATTCCTGTTCCTTGTGTTGGCATAGGCAGTTACAAAAACAAACAATCATCTTGTTCAAAAAAATGATCCAGATGGAAACTAACTCAGCAAAAGCAGGATGGATATATAGCTAAACTAGATTCCACAACAAAGTAGTCCCAACCTAGATTGGCTGATGCTACTGGGAAACCATATCCTGAGTTACAGTTGCCCAGTAGTATCTTACTCCTTTTCGCAAGAGTTCAAAAAGACTTCTGAAAATCAGAAAGCAGGATGTATGCTCATGCAGCCTTCACTCTGCTCCTACAGCAGTTGGTGTCAAAAGGCCCCAAATCCCTGATGTATGGTGTAGCTTGGACCAACAGTTTTGTGTTCACTTTAGAGCACAGGCTTGGGTGCTTGTTTGTTTGTTTTCTTTGTTTTGGTTGTTGTTGGGTTTTGCTTTAATTAAGAAGTCAAATAAATCAGGTGAGAAGTGGCAGAGCCTGTCAGTTATAGAAGGATAAATAAGAAAAGCACTAGACAAGTGCCTAAAGATGAAGGACTTGGGAAGCATGGTGTTTCTTCTGAACGTAAAGAACATCTGAAGAGCTTTTACACAACATAGTCCACAGGCAGAGCAGGCAACATGACATACCTGTTCTTCAAAGAGAGCAGAATTAAAGCTGTGCAAGCAGGTACTTAGCTTTTACGTTTAAGCCTAATTTTTTTAACTAAGGGTACAAAATATCATCAAGCTGCTTAGCAACTGATAAACAAATCCAATTAAAATCTTTCTGTTGCAGAGTCTAGCAGAAAAATAGTATTTATAGAAGAACACTAACTACTATAAATCAATACAGTGCAATTGCAGTTGAGATCTTTGAACATAATGAACAATTCTTAATTAGTACATCTCTCCCCTCTTCATACAAAGTTGTAAGAAGTTTCCATTCTTCCCTTTGGAATGTTTCCAACTCACAAACTAACAGCATAGATGACAAGCCACAGACAAGATGTGGCAATATCCTGATTTTTTTCTTAACACAAAAGGAAATATAGGAGAAGACTAATCCTCACTTCAAACAACACCATTTCACGAATTCTAGCTTACATTCATTCTCCTCATTTGTTACACAGCGTTTTGCTTTTAGACGGACATCGGGATATAAACAACAAACAACTGCACCTTCACATCTTATGTCATCTGTTTCCACGTATACTTAACATAGGCAGTATTTACCAAAAGCTTCTGTGATAGAATTTCCTTCATTATGCTGGGGGATTGGAGATGTTGGTGAGTAAAATGAGTACCAATCTCAATCTAAAACAGCCATCTACACTGCAGACGGGACAGTTCACACCCCTTTCTCCTTCCTTTCTCCGAATATCTCAGGACACTGGCCTGTCCTGCGGACTTTTCACAGTAAACGTGACCATCTGCCTCTGCCAAAAACACAGAGCAGAAGCAGCCTTTCATACAGTGACGACGCATTCAGAACAGCACTTCTATTTTCTAGCTCCTAAATAGGCACCAAATTTCAGACCAATATAAAGAATAAAAATGTTAATTTTCAAACAGATAGAGAAACCAGATTTTAATTCTCAATGTAACACCCTCAACATATAGTTGATTCACTTATTCCCCAGTTCACTGTACTGAAAATATCCACTTGATGAAAAGCATGAACTCAAAACCTTCAACTTCCAGTCTCTTGGGCTGTAATTGGCTGAACTCATTTCTCAGCATTTTCTCTATCCCTTTTATAATTCTTTTTAATTTATATCAACATAAATGATAAATAAAAGCTGAATATCAATATAAAACTTATATGTATTGGGTTTATGACTAATACAGAATACACATGAAAATACAAAATATAAATGTTAATAAGTATGTTTTATAAATTATAATACACCCATTTATACA